ACACACACACACACACACACACACACACACACACACACACACACACACGTTTCCTTAACTATAAAGAACAATGGTACCTACTATTGAGTCACTGTGAGGACTCAGAAGAAATAAACAGTGCCTGGAGCATAGCCTAGCAGCAACTATTCAATAAATGTGTGCTAGCTACCATTACTATTTTGTCTGACTTAAGAGTCATGGCTGACAGATAAGAAGCTGTTCCCACCTTCTCTCCAAGGGAAACTTCCAACAAAAGTATATATATATATATATATATATACACACACACACACACACACATATATATATATATATATATATCATCCTATCCTTCTCTTAGGGCAACTAGATAGAGGTTAGAAGGCAGACGAAGGCTTAGATGTATGAGTCTTGCCTTTATCAAATGCCCAAGGGAAAGCAGGAAAAAAAAAACAATTAAGACAATATTTCACCACCAAAAAAGATTTTTATTAAAAAACAAATTCTAATAAAATCAAGCCTGGTTTTCAACAATTTCTCTGAATGGAGGCTCCTAGGATGGAGGGGCAGGGGAGACAAAGCAGAGGGTAATGAAAGAACAGAGCAGGCTGACCTCCCCGTGAAGTCTCAGGTGCTTTGAGTAGCCTAGATGGGCTCTTCCAATGGCTCCCGAGAAAGGCAACGTCCTTCTAGACAGGAAGAACCACGAACCACTCCTGTCATCAGAACCGAGCACTGCTGCACTGTTGGACTGGATCCAGGTCTTGACTGGCTCTCAGCAAAGGCCATCCAGATTACTCAGCCTGCGCAATGGTGTAGGAGAGAAGCCACAGCAGCAGGGGACCCAGAACAAGGACAGCAAACCAGACAGCAAAACTGGCCAGAATGAGTCTCCGGGCCCGGGCCCCCCAGTATATGGCTTCCTCCGACTGGCCTGCCTTATGCCGCTCTTCTGCCTGTGGGGGCAGGTTCTTGGTTAGATTCTCCCCCTGCTTCAGTCCCAAAGTGTCCACTGCCCATTTCACTCTTTGATCTATCACAGCTCATGACTGCACATCCAAACATCTTACATCCTTTCATTTGTCTTTCTTCTCATCTACAACACAAACCATTCACTACCTTCCTGCTTACCTTTCAATTGGCCACAGTCAGCTTAGAAGACTGCGCTGGGGAAAGTGCTGTTTAATGACTTTGGCTGGTTTTATGGTATGGTGCCAAAAGCAGGGTTGGGGCACACGAGCCAAGTACTCTGCTAAATTACATTTCTGGACTGGAAAATACTTTCAAGTCCGTCTAGTCCCATTATTTTCTATCTGTCCTATGCTCATTCATTCAGAATTTGAAATTCATGACTCAAGTGAGTCACATCCAGTCAGATCACTCAGGGTCCAATAGGTATCATCATTTTCATCATCAAGGATTCTTTTTTATGAGTTTGCCCCAGTGAAATCCCTATGGTACCAGCATATATATATATGACTGTCAAGATATATATAACTAGGGGTGAGAAAATCCCAGAATGTTATGCTAACTTGAATAGTCTTTCAGGAGGCATACATGTATGCTGAACTCAGTGACAATGCACTTAACCATGGGCAATGCTCTGGGCTCAATTCCTAGTAATGCCATCCCCACCCCAGTCACAAAAAGGGGACAGGTGAATCTTTAGCAACTGAACTTCTTCCAGATCCTGGATATTGCTCTCATTGATGGAGGAGGGTCACTACTCAACTGCCTCTAGTTTTGCCCCTTGTGGTTCAACCTCGAAGGAGGTTTTGAGTAGATCTTCCTAAAACACAATCTGGCCATGTCACTCCCCTGAAGTAATTTTTACATTGCTCTCTAGTATTTGAAATAAAGTCACAGTTCCCAAGTACAGAATTGGAAGCCCTCAGGAATCTAGATCTTTGGTGTCAATCTTCAGTACTCCTCATTTAGCCCACACCAGTGCTCACTGCTGCTGTTATCTGGATTATCCTTTTACCCTCATTCACCCCTTAATATTACCTTCTCCTTGTTGTCTTTTATGTCCTTTGGAAGCCACTTAACTCTAAAAGATTCACTCCAACCCCCCTCAACAAATAACTTTCCTTGTTCCTTTGTTCTTAAAGTACCCTGTGCTTCCCCTGTACCACAGTATTGGTGAGCTGCACTCTACTAATTATCCTTTTTTACAGCTATCTCTTTCATTAAGACATGGATCCTTTGAATGTATTCCTATTCAGGCACTAAGCATCACTAGGTATTTAGTAACTGTTTAATTGTAGACCGATCAGATACACAAAATCATTTTCTTATACCCACCCCCGTACCCATAGAAATTTTATTCCTCACCTTGACAGCAAACACAAGAGCCATGACTCCCAGGCAAGAACAGCCACAGATAATGCTAGTAGCTGCCAAGTATCGGAGGCGGAGCCAGCAGCAGTGGATAGGGGATGGAGAATGAGCAGCTTCCATGTTGCTCATCAAGCTCTCCGCTGCATTCTCCTCGTCCTCCATCACCTGTGGGCGATATAGTCAAGGTATTTTTAAGCCCAACAAATGAGCTCTTGTTCTGGTGTGGTGACTCCACCCTTCTCAAGCATGCTGTCTACTGTCCTACCCCTATACTTAGAAATGTTGTACTGGGAAATTTCTCCAATGACTCAAGGCAGGAGACTATTAAGTACATGGATGGACTGCTTTCCTTCACTGTAAGAGTCTGAGTCTTTGAAGGCAGATATGTGAATATACTCGTAGTTTGATAAGCACAAAGCAGCAAACTGACATGCATACTGAGAAACAGGATACAGAATCTCAAAACCTTTTAAAGTGCCTTGTTTTGTTTTGAGATAGGGTCTCACCATTTAGCTCTCCCTGGTTGGCCTGGAATTCAGTATGTAGACAAGGCTGCCTCAAATACAGAGATCGCCTACCTTTGTTCCCTTGTGCTAGGATAATTCTTTTTGAACAGGGTTTCTCTACATAGTTCTGGCTGTCCAGGAACTCACTATGTAGACCAGGCTGCCTAGGACTCAGAGATTCCCCTGGCTCTACCTCCTGAGTGGTAGTGCTGGGATTAAAGGCAAGTGACACCACACCCAGCATGAAAACAGTTCTGGGGAGGAAGGGAAGGAGGGGAAAAAATATCACACAGTTAAGATCTTTTCTTTTCTTGATTTTTATAAAAAAAACAAAAACAAAAACCTTAAACAACTAACCCAATAGTAGTGGCAGACATCTATAATCCCGATTCTGGTTGAAGCAGAAAGATCAAGAGTTCAAGACCAGCATTGCTAGCTTGGAGTTTGAGGATACAGGAGATCCTGTCTCAAAACAAAAACATAACAAAACAAAAAACCCAAACCCTGAACATAGCTTTGTTATGATGCCTTCCTGCCACCTTCTCTCTTCATTTTAACCCATGCCGCGCAAGACAAATCAAACTATGTCAGAGTCCAAATGGCCTCACTGCCCACACAGACACCTGCATAGTGCCTTTTTCTCACTCCTTCTCAGGCCCTCTATGCATATCACAATACCTTTCCACTCTCATGCTCAATCATTCTCCTACGACTTAGACAAAGTGAAACCACCTGTGGTTCGCCAAGCACAAGGGACTGCACAGAATGAGACAGAGCACAAAAGGATGTGTAGCAAAGCTGCAGTGCAAGTTGAGGCAAGAACTGAAGTGTCAGCCAATGAGAAGAGCCCAAGAGGGCCCAGGGAGTTAAGCTCAGAAACTATAAACATGAACAGGTTCTTACCTGGCTATAGGCTTTGAGGGACTGTGAGTTTCGGCTCCTGCCTCAGGTTTGATTTGGCTTGGGTGGAGATGAAGCTGACTCATGGCTCCAAGCCAAGCCAAGGTAGAGTTGTGGGGCCAGCCACCATGTGAAGAGCCCAGGGAGCTGGGAAGGGGCATGACCAACTCAAACCAGTTTGGCTAGATGGAGAGCAGAGGAGGGCCAAGGCATGAAGCAAGTGGAGGATGCCTGCTTTCTGAAGAAAGGAGTGTAAGGAAGCACCTGAGCAAGGAGGGTGAAAGGGACTCCAAGGTGTGGGGAGCTGAGGGCAAGTTCAAGAGTCAGAGAAAAGAGTATGTCTGAGTGAACTGAGGAACTACCAGCCTAACAGATCGTATCTGACAACCTTCCCTTTTCTTGACTGAGAGAGGAGTTAAGTTCTGACTTAAAAGTATACAATCTTGTATTAAAGATTAGGTATGGGATCATTGCAAGAGGGAGGTGAAAAATTACATCCAAGTTCCCACCCAACCCTCCACCAGACCATAAAATCAGAAGCCTCCTTACACGGATGCTTGTACAGAAACTAAGTTTATTATGTTTTCTTTAAAAAAAAAAAAAAAAAAAAAAAACAAACCCACCCCACCTCATTGAAGAAAAGCCCCTCCCCCTTTTCCCTAAGGGTTTGAGGCTGTGAAAGACAGCTGGGGAATCAAGTACAAGGGGGTGGGGTCAGAGACTACCTTGCCACCCTTAACACTGCCCAGCCATGTAGGGTAGAAGGGGAGTTGTGACAAGCCCCATTTCCATGACAACCAGTTACCTACCCCCTACTTTGGTGGAAAGGGAGACAGCCCCCCATGTCTCCCAGGAGGTTTTCCCCCCTCAGACTTCAAGTAGTGGTTAACAGAGTCAGGCCTGGGCATGGGGAAGCGACCATGGTGGAATACCTAAGTGAAGAGCCTACCCACTCACGTCTTGGCCTTGCGACCTCTGTGACTAATAGTAGGGATAGACAGGTGGGGAGGAGCACTACTACGCAGGATACGCTGGTCCCCTTGGTTGGTGGTCCCAACGAGCCTGCGGGGACCAGTTCGGCGGCGTGGGGTTCCATCTCCTTCCTCCTCGTCACCTGAGGCTTCTGCCTCTGACTCCTCTATTGAACCCTCAGGCCCCAGGGGACTTGGGGGCTGCAAGCGGCCCCGCTTTGCCATCCCAGAACTCCCGACTGGAGCCCCTGACCTTTTGCGAGGCATTTTTTCAGTTTCTAGTGGGGGAACTAGAGACCCTGGACGCAGACGGGTTGAGCGAAATTTGGGAGTTAATGAGACCACAGGTGGTGTCAGTTCTAACCCACTTGGCCCACTATCTGTTAAATCCAGGTCATCCTGAATTACGGCCATCACCATGGACCCTTCACTCTTTCGTCCCCGCATTCCCTCTGCTTCAAGTCGTAGGCGGGCCAGGCGGGTGAGAGGACGGCTTCCATCCTCATCAGAGGAACTGCCTTCACTTTCCGCCTGGCCCAGGGGTTGCCTCCGCACCCCGGATCCACAGCTCTCATGGACAGAAGGGCTGTCGGTGTCCAAGACAGGGAGCTGGCTGGGCCGTGGTGATGGTGGATTCTTGGGAGGTCGACCCCGCTTCCGCTTAGGTGGCGATGTTGAAATGGTGACAGTGGTGACAGTGTTGGCGACAGCAGTGGGACAGGCTAGGAGTGGTGGGAGTGGCGTCAGGAGGGCTGGGAAAGGGAGTGGCTGTGTCCGGCTCTCTAAATTGCCATCCCCTGGAGAGGATATGGTCCCAGGAACAGGCAAATCCCTTGCTTTAGGGGGACGCCCACGTCGTCTTTTCTCCACAGGTGATAGGATGGGCTCTGGTCTGTGAACTGGTTCAGGTCCAAGAGGCTGGGGTCCAGGAACAACCTGAGACCTGAGGGCAGGCTCTGCAACAGTTATTGTCTCAGGCCCAGGAACTGGGTCAACCCCATTGGCCTTCCCCTTAGAGACGGATGAAGGTGTCTCATCCACCCCTCTCCCAGCATCTGCTGGAGACCTGTTCTTCTTAGGGGGCCTCCCCCTCCGACGTTTCACAGCAGGTGGAGTGATGGCAAGCTCTGCTCCTTCTCCATTCTCTGGGCTGCCCCCACCAGTCATACCCAGTTCAATGTGACGACAAGCTACGAAGGGATGCTGGGTTGGGGTAGACAGTGAGGATGATGGAGCAGCTTCACAGGGCCCACTGCTGGGAGGTGAGGATTCTGGCCCTGATATGCTGTGGGCTGATGGACTTCCTGGACTGGTGCTAGTTTCTGGAACTAGGGTGCTGGCAGCTGCTCGATGTCGCCGCCTTCTCACAAGCTCTTTCTCCTCCACTACAGTTACTAGCCGTCCTGGTAGCTTTCGAAGCACTTTGGGTCCTGGGGGTTGTCCTGCCCGGCCAGACCCCTGACCCCTGATTTCTACATCAGCACTGGTGCGACGCCGTGGGGGACGGGCAGGCGAAGGACCCTCAGGAGAGGAGGTGGCTGAAGATGAGGTTGATGGGGCTATAACCTCAGCTCTAACAAGTTCTTGTGGCTTTTCTGGGTTAGAGATTGGGATCTGAATCTCTCCCATTTTTTCCAAGTTCCTGTGAACCTCCAAAACCTCCTGAAGTGGCTCATCAGATGTCACTGAGGGTGGCAGCTCCAGCCCATTACTCTCACTCAGACTTGTGGTGAACTCCTCACCACCAGGTAGCAGTGTGGGACTGGTCCCCTGGACAGGACCTAACACCTCCTGCTCCTGACCATTGGGGATGCTGTCAGTCTCCAGGTTTGAACTGGGTGCAGGAGTTAGAAGAACATTCTTCTCTGACTCATGTAGAGTATCAACAGGCCCTGGCAAAAGATCGTTTGGAGGAGCAAGACTAACTAGGGAAGCCTCAGAATTGGTGGTTCCAGGCAGCTCTAGAGACTCCATAGGTACCAACTCTTGTGCACACAGCTCTACGTCTCCTGAGTCCAAGGGAAGGTTGGTAACTCCAGGAGAGATGGAAATGGGAAGGGAATCAAGTAGGGCTGGTGAAGAGGTCAAATGAGAGGTTTGAGCTAGTGAGGGGGCACAAGTGGGTATTGGTGCACAAGCAGGAGGGATGCAATTAGGAGAACAAGATGGAGGAAGTTGAAGCAGAGGTGCAGGAGGAGGCAAGATGTGGACAGGAATGGTTACTGGATTTGGGGCTGAAAGGGGTATGGGAGCTGGGGCTAGAGCAGAAGTTACAGCAGGAGTAGGAGCGGGTGTGGAGGCAGGGGCAGGGGCAGGGGCAGGGGCAGGGGCGGAAGCAGGAGCAGGGGCAGGGGAAGAGGTGGGAGTGGGGGCAGGTCGAGGCCTAGGCACTGGCCTGGGAATTCGTTCTCTCACAGGGCTGCACTGGGGAGGCATGATGGTGTTGCAGGTAAGATGGGTAGATGTGACAGGAGTGTGGTTTGCTCCTTGAGTCTCAGCCCGAGCTCCACGAAGACGCTCACTGACACGAGTTCCCAGCCTTTCAGGAGCCCTGACTTTCTTACTGCGCCGGTGGCTGCCTCCACTAGTCCCACAAGACATCTCATCCCCAGCCCCTGGGCCTTCCTCTTCTTCTTGGGGCAGTCGAAACACTTCTTCCTTGGCTTGATCCAGGTCTTTTCGGGCAGCTTCCACTTGTTCCTACCAACAAGAAGTCCAATATGGTCAGCAAGAGGTAGAGCAAAGTCAGGCATAGTAAAAATGATCAGTTCCCCACTACCTCATTCCCCAGAAAGACTTACTTCTGCCTGCTTGAGCTCCTCTCGGCTTATTTCCTCCAATGATGCTTCTAGGAACTTCATGGCATAGCGCTCAATGGGAGTCAGCTGTAGAGAAGAGTAACTGGATAAACAGAAGGACCAAGAGTACGGGGCCTATCACCAGTATTTATTATCACCAAGAAAGATGGGGGAGGAAAGGTCTGAGTCCTGGCATAAGTTTTGGCAGATGAAGAGAAGCAGTAGTGGATCTATACTGACCTGTTCTACAAGTGCTGCAATTTCCTGTTCAGCCCTGGACATCTCTTCTTCCTCAGCCCCAGGCCGACTGGTCTCTTCTCCCTCACCAGCAGGAAACCCATCATTCTCATTAAATTCTGCAAGTTCAGCCACTTGTTCAGCCTTGGCCTGGGTGGCTGCACGGATATCTTCTTCATCTTCTGCCCGACACAATGCCTTCAAGGTACACAAAAGCAAAACAAAACACACACAAATAAGAAATGTAAGCATCTGGAGGGCAGTAAAATGGCTGGTTAAAGGCATTTGCCCAGCAAGTCTGACAGCCTGACTTTGATCCTCAGAACCCATAGTGGAAGGATGGATTCTAGAAATTTGCTCTCTGACCTCCATATGCATGTGATGGCAGATAGGCATATAATAAATAAAAAAAATTCAAAGAAAAAACAGGGGGATGGAGCTGGAGAGATGCCTCAGCACTGGAGAAAGCTTACCACTCTTGCAGAAGACCTATCAGATAGCTCAATTCCAGTTCTAGGGGAACTCCAACCCCACTGGCTTCTCATAGTACCTGCACTCCTGTGTAACTACCCACACATAGACATAATATACACATAATTAAAAGGAAAAAATTCTTTAAATAAAACAATAAAACTACAAACTTTTCAAGGCATGATGCAGGTACATGCCCATAATCTCAGCCCTCAGGAGGTATAACTAAGATTGCTGAAAGTCTGAAGCCAGTCTGCTATACACAAAATGTTCCAGGAAAACCAGAGACACTTGACAAGACCTTGTCTCAAAACAAAACAAAATAAACTATTAATATCTTGTAATTACATTTTATTTATCTATTTATGCCCTGCTTGGACATTGATGTTTAAACTATCTTTGAACTAACAGAGCTCCACCTACCTCTGCCTCCTGAACGCATGCATTATATTCCTGAAGAAACAACAGAGACAGCTGGGTGAGGCAGTACACACCTTTAATCCCCAGTATTGAGGAGACAACAGTAGGTAGAATACCTGTGAGTTCGAGACCAGCCTGGTCTAAAGAGATTCCTATCAGCCAAGCCCTAACAGTGAGTCTCTATCTCAAGTAAAAACAAAAAACAAACAAAAAACATTTGAATCCAAGTTTATATAAAAACAGATTTAAAGCTGAACTCAGCAGTGGTCTGCAACACTAGAGCTACCAAAGCAACTCAAAGCTCAACACAAGACAGAATGGTTTTTACTAGCTCTCCCACTAGGGAACAAATGACTATTTTAGAGCCCCCTATTCTCTACTTCCTTTCCTTTATAATTTTTATAATTTAGCCTTAGAGTTTCTCTCTTAAAAAAAAAAAAAAAAGGAGTAGGAATGAGTTGAGGGTGCAGCTGTTAGAGTATTTGCCTAAATCCTGGGTTTCATTCCCAGCAACAAAAACATGAAGAACAAGATCATAAAGTTAAGAGCTGGAGAGATGGCTCAGAAGAACACCTATTGTTCTTGCAGAAGATCCTTTCAGTTCTAGTACCTACTTTGAGCCCACAAGCTCTA